TCAATGCGGAATAGTATTCCATCGTGTGGATATACCACAGCTTCTCTATCCATTCGTTTGTTGATGGGCCCTTAGGTTGCTTCCAACTCTTTGCTGTTGTAAGCAAAGCTGCAATAAACATGGGTGTGGAGAAACAGTCTTCTAAGTGTGACAGTACTCTACTGTCAATATGCTGTACTGAAGTAACTAACCTGGGCCCGCTGTGATGCTGAACCTTGTGCCATTGCGGTGTCAAATAAGTGTGACAGTACTCTACTGTCAATATGCTGTACTGAAGTAACTAACCTGGGCCCGCTGTGATGCTGAACCTTGTGCCATTGCGGTGTCAAATGCCATAATGGTTACCCATGGTGGACATTATTTGGTGGAGCTCCCAGTTTAAGACAGGTTTGGAAGCAAGAGTGGCATCCACTTCCTAAACAACATGCTTCTGGAAACTCAATGCACTTTGAGAAATGACTATAGGTTTCAGGTCTTTTGTTCATAGGGTTGCTATGAGTCGTGCTTGACTCAGTGGCAATCAACAACAACAGTAACATATGTACCTTAGGCAGAGTATTAAAAAAATAGGGTAATGTTAGAAGGACTACAGAAAGGAAATGTTTGGACTTTGGACCCTTCTCCTATACTCCATTAGACTAGAGATAAAAGTATAGTGTTTCATATAGTTTTAAAAGTTCTAAATATGTTTGGTATAAAGCCTATTTCATATTTGGTATAAAAACATTTTGTAGAATGAAACGTACAACTGGAGTAATGTTAACATTTCCCAAATGGCTCTATTAAATGATGAAATTAAAAAGGGTATAATTTTCAGCTGATGTTCTCTCACTGAAATATAGTTCAAATAGCTGCACTAGAAAAAGTAATAATAGTGAGCAGGTTAATCAGTGCAGTTTTCCCTTAAAGTTTTAATAGTCTTTGTCTTTTGGAGACATTAATGCTTACTTTTTAGTCTTTTGGTAGAGCTGTTAAGAAATACAGAGCTAAGTATATGAAAGAACTTTGATAACTTGTGTATTTATAAAAGTTGTGCATACATTAGGGTATATAAAAGTGAAACCCATTGTCATTAGTTTGAGTCTAGCTCATAACAACACAATAGGACATAGTACAACTAACCAATAGGGTTTCCATGGCTGCAGTCTTTTTAGAAGCAGACTACCACATCTTTCACCGAAAGTAACTAGTATAAATATGAACCTTCAATCTTTTTGGTTAGCACTTGAGCACTTACTCACTGTGCCACCAAGACTACTCGCCATGTGTATGCTGAGGGTTTACTCTTCCAGAATGTATTACTTAAATGTGGTTCACAGACAAACATTGGTTTCCTTTTTAGTTCATGGACTCAAAGTAGTATATGTCCATGATGAGATAACTATTGAAATAGAGAGTGGACACTTTAGAAATTTTTTTCTACAAAGTTAATATGGTAATGTTATTTAAGCTCACAATCAAGGTTCCCAAATTGTTATTAATGTATCAGAAAAATGATCTGAAGATCTGTAAAAGTCACCTGGAGATCTTAAACTGGAGATTCTGATTGAGTATACCTAGGGTAGAAGTGTAAATTTTCAGCAGATAGACTGGTCTGTATTGTTTCAAAGCCCTAAGTGTAACACATTTTTATCAGTGCCTATGAATATTTATACTGAAATGCCATCTTTGCTAATAATAAAGGGAATATTTCTTTTTTTAGGTTGTGCAGTGGTTGCTGGAAGAAAAATTGTGTACGTTGCAGTGTGCTGTATTTGATAAGACTTTGGCAGAATTGAAAACAAGAGTGGAAAAGATTGAATGTAACAAGAGGCATAAAACAGTTCTTACTGAACTACAGGTTCGTATTTTGACTTGATTTGCATACACAACACATATATCACCATTTTTATGCAGTTATTATCTGGAATATATTTTTAAAGTTGATTTCAAAAGATAATTAAATCTAAGTTTTTTTAAGTAGAAAGAGTTCAGTGGACCTTCCTTGATGGTTGAGAGCAAACTTTGTTTTGTGGTATGTCTATGGATCTGAAAGTTATATTAAGAATCTACTTAGACCTTCTCCTTTGTGTACTTCTTTTTTCCCCTGCCCCTGTTTGGTGAAAATAGGGAACTTTGATGTTACAGTCCAAAGTGAGTTGCACTGCTAATCCCAAGACTCTGTGAAGTCTTTTTTAATCCACCAGTGTGACTCTGAAGGAGTAAAGTGGACAGTCTCTTTCTGTGCAGTGTATGACTTCAGAGGGTCATCTTTTAGTCAGTTCCTATGTGACAGCAGTGAGTTTATGTAGAAAATACACCTCTCTGTTCTTTTTTTTTTAATTTTTATTTTATTATTTGTGTGTACCGTCAAATCAGATCTGACTGGTACAGGAGGAGATTGTCCCTCCTTCCCCTGCAGAGCATCTGGTGGATTCGAACCGTGCGCCTCTGGGATTGTAGTGCAGCTTCTTGCCACTAGGCCACCAGAGCTCCCCTTCACCTCTCTGTTCTTACAGATTATTAGTCCTAAGGAACTGGGAAGGGTCCAATACCTGCTGACCTAGTCCTGGGTTAATGGGTTGAAAGAGAAGGAGCCAATACCACAGCTACAAGTAAATGAGAACTTGAAAGACAGAAAGGACTACTGGTGGTTGGAATCTGGACTGGTCAGAACAAAAGCTTAGATTTCTGTAGGATGTATATGGTGTGTTAAAGCGTATTCATGTCCCATCACAGATTTGACATAAAAGTTGTTTTAAGCAACCATGGCCTCTTGACCTGGTTTAATATATTTGAACTGGTTGACAAGATCTTCTTGAATCAACCCTAAGTTCACAGTGTTTCTTAATTATTTTTCTTAAGTTGCTTTAGAAGGGTTAGCATGTAGAACCCTCAAAACTGTAACTCTTATCAATCCTACAAGCTTGGAGCTGAACTCCCCTCTCCCACTTCTTTAGCCTAACAGACAGTCATTCATTCATTCGTTCATTGCTGTCCAGTTGGAGCCAATTTACAACTGACCCTTCAGTGGGATTTCAGAGGCTGTAAATTGCACAGGGAAATTGCTCATCTTTCTGTCCGTGGAGCAGCTGGTAGATTCAGACTTTCTTTCTTTGAGTTGGCAGTGCAATTTATAAACCCACTAGTCAACCAGAGTTCCCTGTAAAATTTGGTGATTGAAATCAGGGTTAATGAAACAAAATGTATTTGAATTGCTGAATGGAAAACTAGTTTACCCTGTACACTTTCACCCACATTATAATGAAAAGTTGGAAAGGAAAAGCTCTATTGACTCATTTTTTATGCGGCAATAAATTGTGAATAAAGAGATTCTTCTACCAGTCATATGTCATTTTGCAGTACTGTCATGAGCTGCCATGATGCTGGAAGCTATGTTATACCAGTATTTTAAATACTGCCAGGGTCGCTCATGATAATCAGGTATCAGTAGAGCTTCTAAACTAAAACTAAGAAGCGGCCAGGCTATCCACTTCTGAATTAATGAGCCTTTGAAAATTTTATGGACAGTGGTAGAACATTGTTGGATATAGTTCCAGATGATGTTCTCCTCAGTTTGAAAGACACTTAAAATGAAACTAGGGAAGATATGGATGGAGTAAAATTTTCATTTAATGAAGGATTTTCATTTGCTGATATGGCTACAATGAAAGATGACTGTTACTTGGATGAAGTATAAATCTAGGAAAAAATGAGAGTTGTAAAATATGAACTGGAACACAATGATTGTCCTTCTAAGCACTAGTGAGCAGCTCAAATGAATTGTATTGAATCAGGCAATCATATGATCTGTTATGCCAGAAAGGAAATATTGGGGAGGGATGGTGTTAAATTCATAGTAAAAAAGTCATTTTAAGATCCATCCTTAAGTACAATAGGATACTTTCCACATACATATAAGAAGTCCTCTTATTAGAAATGCATATAATTAAAAGATACCAGTCATGAAAGCCAAAGATAAAGAAACTGAAGATTTCTGCCAAGTTTTGTAGTCTGAAATTGATTGAATGTGTAGTCAGAATGCATGAATAACTGGTGAACTGGAATGCAAAAGTTGGAACCAAAGGACTGGTAATTGGAAAATATGGCCTTGGTCCCTGAAATGAGGCTGGAGATCAAAAGCTAGAATGTTGTACAGTGAATGATTTATTCATTGCAAATATTTTTAACAAATAAATATTGACTATGTACATGGACTTCATTTGATAGACTACACAGAAATCAGATTGGCTACATAGGGGCATTGGAGCAGCTCACTGTCGGAAGTCAAAACCAGGCCAGGGATGCCTGTGGATCACACCATAAACTACTCAACGTTGTTTGCTGTTACGTGCTATTGAGTCACTTGCGACTCATAGTGACCCCATGTACAACTGCCCCACACCCTGCCCTATCCTGTGCCAATCTGTCTCTGACACACCTACCCTTATTACATCAGACATTGAATCAATCCATCTCATTGAGGGTTTTCCTCTCTTGTGCTGTCTCTCCACCCTCCCAAGCATGATGTCCCTCTCCTAGGACTGGTCCCTCTTTGCACCATGCCCAAAGTATGTCAGACAAAGCTTTAGAATCTTTGCCTTCAAGGGGCAGCCTGGTTTTACCCTCTCCAGGATGAACCGATTTGTTCTCTTAGCAGTCCATCGTATATTCAGTCCTCTTCTCCAACAGCACACCTCAAAGGCATCAGTTCTCCTTCTATACATCCCTAGTCATTGTCCAGCTCTCTAATGCATAGCAAGAGATTGCAAAGACTGTGGCCTGTATCAGGCACACCTTAAATATCTAGACTGACATCATTGCTATTCAGTACTCTGGAGAGGTCTGGACAGCAGACTTTCCCAGTATAATATGTCTTTTCATTTCTAGGCTTCTGGTGCCAAGAGTATTAATTGTAAGAGCCAAGAAAACGACTCATATGTAAGCTAAAATTGATATTGAATAAAATGTAAAAATATCCATGAGAACAAAAATATGACCAGCTGAATTTAAAAATTATCTTAGGAATGGATGGATATGCCACCCTGAACAATGATTATCAAAGATCAGACGAGTTGTGAAATGACATGAAGAAAGCAAAGAGTCTTTACAGTGACAGGAAAAAAAAGAAAAGACTTCAGAAGAAACTTTGCAACTTGCATCGCCAAAATAGGAAGAAGGAATGTTGAAATGAGCTGATTTCAAAGGTCAACTCAAAAAGACAAAGCAGAAGAATCTGAACACCAAGGAAGAGGAAGTTATTCATGTCCTTTGGGGCCAGAGATTTCTGTGCCAGCTGAATTATGATCTACACAAGAGCAAAAGTATCCTTAGAGAATTAGAGACTGTTATTAGATACAGCTAAGTTGGGACTGATGCCGCATGGAACAAGGGCCGAAGGCCTTCATATAAACTTGCTGAAGTACTGAAAGAACAAGACAAAAAGGAACATTGTAACACTGACCTAAGCCATGACACTGAAGGTTAAAAAGCCTGTGACCATGCTTGAGAAGATGTCTGGACGGAGGGATTGAAGCCTGCTGCCAAATTGAATTATAATAAGCCTGTTAACTTCCCTAATAAAGTCTTAACTCCGGATGTGTGTGAATTTTCAAGGAAAGGATCACGAAATGTGCATGGGGAGTTAGAAAATCAAGAACAAATTAAAAAAAAAGAAAAAAAATTCAGTTTTCAGTTGCAATAATGAAGGGTTCTAACTTGAATGATTCAGAAGCATCAAAAGAAGATAGAAAGAATACCCAGAGTTACCATACCAGAGGAATTAGTCAACCCTCAGGATCAAGAACCAATACTACTAAAGGAAGAAGTTTAAGCTTCACTAAAGCATTGGCAAAAAAAAGATGCCAGGGATTGATGGAATACTAATTGAGGTGTTTTAGGTAAGAGATACAACCCTGGACATGCTTACCATCTCTGGCAAACAGTAAAATGATAGTTACTAGGCCAACCTACTGGAAGAAATCCATATATATTCCCTTTCCTAAGAAAGGTGATCAGCAGACTTTTTATTTTATTGAAAAATGTCATAAATCTCACATGCAAGTAATATTTTGCTGAAGATTAATAAAAACTACTGGAACAGTTGTTGATTGGATCCACAATCAACACCCTTGGTATCAGCAGTCAGTAAATTGAAAACATGTTGCATTGTGAAAATCTGCTGTCAGAGACAACAGAAGTGCATCAGTTTAAAAACTAAAATGTGCCCGTTTCAAGTCAAGGTCTTTTTAGATACTTCTTACCTTGCTCTGTTCTGATGACTGCCTCTTGGTCCAAGTATAGGTTTCGCATTAGCTCAATCAAATGTTCTGGGATTCCCATTCTTCTCAGAGTCAGCCATAGCTTATTGTGACACAGTCAAAAGCCTTTGCATAGTCAATGAAGCACAGATAGACATTCCTCTGGTAGTCTCTGCTTTCTGCCAAGATCCATCTAACATTAGCTATAATATCCCTAGTACCTCTTCTAAACCCAGTGTTGAAGTGTATTTCAACATGGACTGGGAGAAGGGACAACAGGGGGAGAGAGGAAAACGTGTAACAATTAATGAATGAAAACCCAAACTTTCTGTAGACTTTTGGTAAAATTATAATAATCTAAAGGTAGAAGGGGAAGGAACAAAGGGTAGGTGAAGGGGGGCAAATCACTTGGATAGCAGAGGTTATGGGTGGACGAGGGGTGAAGGCATTGCAAAGATTTTGTCAGGACTTAAAGAGAAGGAGTGATAATAGGCATA